TATCAATCGAGAAAATAAAATGCAACTTAATAGCCCAAACAAAACAAAACGCTGCGTATCATTTTCCGTGAGGCAAACAAGCATAAGGCATAAAAAGATCAGCATGTGGGCCTTTGGATGAGATAAAGTACTTTTGGCCCACAAACACTAAACTGCAAATGACAGCATGTTTAGTGAATACACAGTAACAAATCTCCACCTATTTACTAAACATACAACAGAATAAAGTGCACACTAGAGGTTTCTGGCATTTAACCCAAGGCCTATGCTATGCATGCAATTTAGGGAGGTTTTATTTTTAGCAAATTTAGAGCCTCCCTAAATTTACTAAGAGGAACAGTCTTAGTCAAAATATCTGCAGGATTAATTTCAGTTGGTATTTTATTCACACTAACCTGACCATTACTAATTATTTCCCTTATGAAATGCAACCTAACATCTATATGCTTAGTCCTTTCATGGTATGCACCATTTTTGGACAAGTGTATGGCAGATTGAGAATCAGAAAATACCTTAGGAGGGTCCTTACCTAGACCCAACTCAGAGACAATTCCATGCAGCCACATTGCCTCCTTGACAGCTTCTGTGAGAGCCACATACTCTGCTTCAGTTGTGGAGAGTGCCACAATGTGTTGCAAGCTTGCTTTCCAGCTCACCACATTTCCTCCCACACAAAAAACAAAATCAGTTAGAGATCTTCTTTTATCAAGATCAGCAGCATAGTCAGAATCACAATAACCAGTAATATCACAATTAACTGAGTTTTGAGCAGTATAATGAATGCAGCAATCAATAGAGCCACTAAGATATCTAAGCAACCATTTCACAGCATTCCAATGTTCCTTAGATGGTTTACTCATGTATCTACTTACTACACTAACACCATAAGCAATATCAAGCCTAGAACCTATCATGGCATACATTAGGCATCCAACAGCATTAGAATATGAAATATTGCACATAAAAGAAGCCTCATCCGAGGCTAACTCACCATCTACAGCCTTTAACCTGAAGTGACCAGCAAGGGGAACACTTACAGGTTTGGCCAGGTACATGTCAAAGGTCTTCAAGACCTTTTTCACATACTCAGATTGAGAGAGAGTCAATATCCTCTCATCTTTTTTCCTTGTAATGTCCATGCCAAGTATCCTCTTGGCTGGACCAAGGAACTTCATCTCAAATTCCTTTTTCAACAATGATTTCAGATTATTAATTTCATTTATGTCCTTAGATGCAATTAACATGTCATCAACATAAATCAACAAGTAGATAAAACAGTCATCATGCAGTTGTTTAAAGTACACACAATGATCAAAACTACTCCTATTAAAGCCTTTGGACAAAACAAAATCATCAAACCTCTTATACCACTGCCTAGGGGCTTGTTTTAACCCATAAAGGGACCTTTTCAAAAGGCACGCTTTGTTCTCAGCCCCCTTTTTTATAAATCCTTCGGGTTGCTCCATGAATATGAGCTCTTCAAGGCTGCCATGCAAGAAGGCAGTCTTGACATCCAATTGTTCCAATTCTAAATCATGAATTGCAACAACTGAAAGTATGAGCCTAATTGAAACATGTTTCACAACAGGGGAGAATATTTCATTGTAATCAACCCCCTCAACTTGTGAAAAACCCTTAGCAACAACTCTTGCCTTAAACTTGGCAACTTCAACACCTGGGATTTCTGGCTTCCTTTTAAAAATCCATTTGCATCCAATCACCTTCTTGTTCTTTGGATGCTCCACCAAAACCCAAGTCTTATTTTTCTCAAGAGACTCCATCTCTTCCTTCATGGCTTTTAGCCAATGAATTTTAGAATCCAGCCTCATAGCCTCTTGGTATGAGCTGGGTTCATTAAACTCCAGCACATCTCCAACTTGGAGTGCAAATGCTATGACATCTGCATGTGCAAAACGACTTGGAGGTCTTATATTCCTCCTAGTCCTATCTCTAGATAGCAAATAATCCTCTAGATTATCTCTATCCAGTTCCACATCATGCTCCTCAATGGGAATGTCATTCCCATCATCTTGAACTTCAGCAACAGTGTGTTGTTGTTCATTTTCAGCCACATCAGGTTGCTGCCCAGTGTTGTTGGGCAGCTCCACCTCCAACTCAACAGTCCTAGGAGGATGCTCTTTGTCACTCAGTTTGGATATGTCTTTATAGAATGTGTTTTCTTCAAAAATCACATCTCTACTTATGACACACTTCCTTTCAGCTATGAGCCATAGCTTATATCCCTTAACACCTGAAGGATAACCAACAAAGACAGATTTAACAGCTCTAGGACTCAACTTATCTTTTTACATGCATGTATGCAAGACAACCGAATGGTTTTAAGTGTCCTAGACTTGGTGGCTTACTAGACCAAAGCTCCATAGGGGTTTTAAGACCTATAACTGTGGATGGGCTCCTATTTATAAGGTAACAGGCTGTGGAAACAGCCTCAGCCCAAAAAGATTTAGGGAGACCAGATTCAGCCAGCATACATCTGACCTTATTCAGGATGGTTCTATTCATCCTTTCAGCCACCCCATTTTGTTGGGGTGTTTCAGCACACGTTCTGTGCCTCTTAATACCATGCTCATTGCAAAAATCAAAAAATTGATTATTGCAAAACTCAAGCCCATTATCAGTCCTTAGGACCTTGACTTTCTTATCAGTTTCATTCTCTACAAGGGTCTTCCAATTCTTGAAGCTATCAAAGGCTTGATCCTTTTGCTTCAAGAACATGGTCCATACTCTTCTAGAATATGAATCCACAATAGAAAGGAAGTAATGGCAACCAGAGAGAGAAGGGGAACATTAGGAGATCCCCACAAATCAGAGTGTATGTAATCAAGGACTGATTTAGAAAAATTTGAAGAGCTAGGAAAGGGTAACTTGTGTGTTTTCCCTAAAATGCAATTTTCACAAAAATCAACACAAGTTACTTTCTTAGGACTTAAAATACCTTGTTTACATAACTCAGACAGACCCTGGTTGCTGATATGACCCATTCTCTTATGCCAGAGAACAGATTCATCATCCTTGGCTGCTGTTATACAGCTTTCAGATGAAACAGCATGGCCCTGTAATATGTACAGGCCATTAATTAACCTTCCTTCCATTAAAATCTCACTACCCTTAAGAACAGTGAGTGAACCTTGCTCACTCTTGAATAACAGCCCACTTGAGTCAAGCATACCTAGAGAAATTAAATTTCTCCTCAAGTCAGGGACATACCTCACTTCTTTGAGGATTTTATGGGTGCCATCAGCCATTAGAAACTTGACAGCCCCAATCCCTTCTATTTGACAGATCTGGTCATTCCTCATAAGGACCTTTCCACCCTTTTGGAACCTTAAACCAGCAAGCCACTCCTTCCTAGGAGTCATGTGAAAAGTGCAACCTGAATCCATAACCCATTCAGCCTCAAAGCCCTTATTAGACACCATAAGGACTTCAGCACCCTCACACCCACTAAGTAAATTTGCATACTCAGTTTTAGTTGCTGCATTTGCAGCTCCCTTATTATTTTCAGGGCAATTCTTCTTGATATGCCCTTCTTTATGACATGACCAGCAGGTAAGTTTACCTTTTGGCTGCTCCTTATTTTTATTACCTTGTGTGTTCTGGTTAGGTTGGGATACATTATTGTTTCCCTTCCATTTATTTTTAAATTTCCCTTTCTTGTTCCCTTTACCCTTCACAACCAGTCCCTCAGCATGAGACTTTTTATGGGAGAGTATTTCAACCTCTCTTGCTTTCAAAGCTTCAGTTATCTCATCTAAGTCCATTCCCTTTTTGCTGTATTTTATAGCATCTTTTACACCCCTATAAGAATCTGGAACAGAATTCAAGAGGATCAAAATTTGATCCTCATTTGAGGCAGTTGCCCCAGCATTATCCAGATCTAAGGTGAGTTTGTTAAACTCATCAAGATTGTCCTCCAGGCACTTAGAAGGATCCATCTTGAAGGAAAAGAATTTCTCCTTCAAAAACATCTTGTTTGGGGCAGATTTAGTTTGATAGAGATCCTTAAGCTTTTCCCAAAGCTCTCTAGGATTAGTTATCTTACAAACACGCCTAAGGATACTATCAGACAGATTTACAACAATTAGACTATGAGCTAAAGCCATTAAGTCTTTTAGTTCCTTAGGTGTCAGGGAATTAGGAAGATCCTTTTCAGCACCAACAGCATCCTCACACTTCTGTTGGACCAAGACAGCCATCATCTTGATCTTCCACATGTTAAAGTCACCCCTCCCATCAAACTTCTCCACCTCAACCTTGGTGATACCCATCCTCTTCAGCTTCCAACAGCAGATAGCACGAGGACCAGAGGGAAAAAGACAGAAAACTCGGAACAGGCACAGATACTGACCAGAAGAAAAAAGGAACCAAGAACCTAAGCTCTGATACCACTTGTTACAATTCTTGGTATAGAGCTACCAAGAATCACCCCAGAAAACTGACTCACAGAAACGGAAAACATAAAGAGCAGCACACAAGATATTTATACTTGGTTCAGAAATTCTTTGTACAAGAATTTCCTACATCCAAGTTGGCCAGAGAGGGTCAAACGCCCTCTAGCATGCAAATTTATTCAGATAACAGTAATAGGTACAGAGTTTACAGTAGCCAACAGACCACAATGCAAGAATCTCAAAGAACAAAATAGCAAAGGAAGAAATACAAATATCACAGCAAATAACCAAATGAATAAGGAACATAAAGAACCGATTGCTATTATACTAAACAGAGAATAACTACAAGAAGAGATATCACCGAGTCAGCTCCTGACACCGCAAGTACAGCAACCTTCTTCACCGAGAAAGACCTTCTCTTTTCACCGAAGAAAACATCAGGATGCAAGAAATCCCAAACCCCTCTTGAACGAGTTCTCACAAAGTACACCGATTAAAATGTTCGCCTTGTTATTCTGATCAACTTCCTCCAAAGCATTGAGTAGAGATTCTCAATGTATCACTCTCAAACAGCCTCACAACCTCTCGATGAGAAACCCTAACTTTTTCCCCTTTCAGAGGACTTACGAACAGAGAGAAGAAAAGCTAGATGAAGAGCATGTGAGGTTTCTTGAAAGTTCTGAATGATATCAATCGAGAAAATAAAATGCAACTTAATAGCCCAAACAAAACAAAACACTGCGTATCATTTTCCGTGAGGCAAACAAGCATAAGGCATAAAAAGATCAGCATGTGGGTCTTTGGATGAGATAAAGTACTTTTGGCCCACAAACACTAAACTGCAAATGACAGCATGTTTAGTGAATACACAGTAACAGTTCTCTTTGTTCACTTTTTTTGCCTTGCCTTGTTAACGTTTCATTTTGGCATTTGCATAGGCTCTTCTGAGATTCTCTGCATTCCAAGTGAACGCGATGCACTTCTGAGGTTCAAACATCATCTCCAAGATCCTTCAAATAGACTCTCTTCTTGGAATGCTTCCAATCCCAATTGCTGCCATTGGGAAGGAGTTGTTTGCAGTAATGTAACTGCCCACATTCTACAGCTTCACCTCAACACTTCACTGCCTCCTTCTGACGATGATGATCTTGATTATTACCCTTATTTGGAATATCCTGAAGCTTCTGAAGCTTATTTGAGGTCGAGGTTTGGTGGTGAGATAAATCATTCTTTGGTTGATTTGAAGCATTTGAGTTACTTGGATTTGAGTGGCAATTATTTTGGAGGTAAGCAAATTCCTAGTTTCCTTGGTGCAATCACCACTTTAACTTACCTTAACCTCTCACGTGCTGGATTCGATGGGAATATTCCTCATGAAATTGGGAATCTCTCCAATTTGCTGTATCTTGATCTCAGCGGTGCTGCCAGTGGAGAAATTCCATATCAAATTGGGAACCTCACGAATTTGCTCTATCTTGACCTTGAAAATGATTACTATGAACCTCTGTTTACCGAAAATCTTCATTGGCTTTCAGGTCTTTCATACCTTCAATATCTTGATTTGAGTTATGCAAATCTATCAAAGTCATTTGATTGGTTACAGACTCTGCAAGCTCTTCCTTCTTTGATGGAGTTACACTTGCAAGAATGTACGCTCAATCATCATAATCAACCATCAACAGTAAACTTTTCATCTCTCATCACTCTTGATCTTTCTAAAATAAATTATCCTGATGGGATTTCTCTTGTCCCAAAGTGGATATTTGGACTGAGGAAACTTGTTTCTCTTCAATTGAGAGGAAATAACATCCAAGGTCCTATTCCTGATGGTATTCAAAACCTCACACTTCTTCAAAATCTCGATTTGTCTTTCAATTTATTCTCATCTTCTATGCCTGATTGGTTATACAGTCTTCAACATCTCAAGATCTTGAACCTAGGATCGAATGCGTACTTGTGTGGGTCTATTTCTGATGACCTGGGAAATTTGACTTCTCTTGTTGGACTCGATTTGTCAGGTAATCAACTTGAAGGAAAAATTCCATCTTCTTTGGGATACTTAACTTCTCTTGTTGGACTTGATTTTTCAGAAAATAAACTTGAAGGAAAAATTCCATTTTCTTTTGGTAATCCTTGCAACTTAAGGGAGATCGATTTCTCATTTGTCAAACTCAACCAACAGGTTAATGAAATTTTAGAAATCCTCTCTCAATGTGTTTCGCAAAGACTCACAAGATTCAAACTGTCCAATTCTCAACTTTCAGGCAATCTGACAGACCAAATTGGAGTGTTTCAAAATATTTTCACAATGGACTTTTCCAACAACTCAATTCATGGTGCACTTCCTACATCATTTGCAAAACTTTCATCATTAAGATTGCTTGATCTGTCAAAAAATCAATTGAATGGAAATCCATTTGAAATGTTTAGATCGTTCTCTAAATTGTCAATCCTTTTAGTTGATGACAATCTATTTCAAGGAGTTGTCAAGGAAGATGACCTTGCAAATCTTACGAGATTAAAAAAGTTTTATGCATCAGGGAACAATTTCACTTTAAAAGTGGGTCCCAATTGGCACCCTAGTTTTCATCTTAGCGAATTGAAAATGAACTCCTGGCAGTTAGGTCCCAGCTTTCCCTCATGGATTCACTCACAAAAGAATCTTATTGATTTGGATATGTCTAACACAGGGATTTCAGGTTCTATCCCCACCTGGTTTTGGGAAATAGTTTCTTATGCAGCTGATTTGAACCTCTCTCACAATCATATCCATGGTGAGCTTGCAAATATATTAAAGAATCTACCATCTATCGAAATAGTTGATCTAAGCTCTAATCATTTGCATGGGAAATTACCTCATCCATCTGTTGATGTGAGTTGGTTAGACCTTTCAAGCAATTCATTCTCTGGATCCATGACTGATTTCTTATGTAGAAAACAAGACCATCCAATGACATTACAATTTCTCAATCTTGCAGCAAATAATTTATCAGGGGAAGTACCTGATTGTTGGATACTGTGGCCAAATCTGGTGGAGGTGATTTTACAGAGTAACCATTTTGTTGGAAACTTACCCCAATCCATGGGTTCTTTAACTGAGCTAGAATCTTTGAACATCCGTAACAACACACTGTCTGGAATATTTCCTCCCATTTTGAAGAACACTAATAAGTTGATTTCCTTGGACCTTGGGGAAAACAGACTTACAGGAATTATTCCAAAATGGGTTGGAAAAAGGCTTTTGAATTTGAAAATTCTTCGCCTTCGGTCAAATAGATTTTTGGGTCATATTCCTAATCAAATATGTGATATGATTTTTCTTCAGGATTTGGACCTTGCACAAAACAATTTGTCCGGAAATATACCAAAATGTTTCAACCACTTGAATGCCATGTTGCTAAGCAACAGGATTATGGATTCATTCATCCATACGCATACATCTCATGGCAGTACAATTAGTACAATCCTATGGGTGAAAGGAAGAGATATAGAGTACAGAAATCTTCTTGGCTTGGTTACAAATGTTGATCTTTCTAATAATAATTTATCTGGAGTGATACCCAGAGAAATTACAAATCTAGATGGATTGATTTATTTGAACTTGTCCAAGAATCAGTTGATTGGCCAAATTCCACCAAGCATTGGCAATATGAGATCATTGGAGTCCATTGATTTCTCAAGGAATCGACTTTCAGGAGAAATCCCTTCAACCATATCAAACTTAAGCTTTCTCAGCAGGCTTGACTTGTCTTATAATCATTTAAGGGGGGAAATTCCAACAGGCACTCAATTGCAAAGCTTTGAAGCATCTAACTTTGTTGGCAACAATCTGTGTGGTCCACCACTGTTCGTCAACTGTAGTTCCAATCGGCAAATTCCTGATGATGATCACAAAGGCAAAAAGAGTGATGGCCATGAGATAAATTGGTTTTTTGTGAGTATGGCATTGGGATTTATTGGGGGATTCTGGGTTGTGGTTGCTCCTTTGTTCATTTATAGATCGTGGAGGTATGCCTATTTTAATTTTCTTGATGACATGTGGTACAGAATGCAATCTTTTTTTAGACTGTAAAATTGTAATGTAGTATTTTACTATTTTATATGTTGTGAGAAATAAAATTATAATTGTATCACTAAGAGTAACCTCTTAGTTTGAGACTTAAGAAATATATCTAATTATTATTATTATCCATGTAATCCTCCCCAAATAATATCACCATATTAAACTTTTGTCATGTAAGTATTTCAGTGAAACTTCCGAAGGTGGAAATTTCTTAATTTCAAGGACGGAATTTTGTGATAACAATGTATTGAAAAGGTTCTACATGGGTATGGAAGTTGGATTCAGTAGTGGCTTTTGGGGAGTTTGTGTAGTACTTTTCTTGAACAAGACATGGAAGCATGCTTATTTCAAATTTATTGATAATATGAAAAACTGACATTTTATGAGGGTGATCTTAAGGTTCAACTTGAATATCATCAAGTGTCCCCTTGAATCTGTCCTTGGGTCTGGCATACACCATTTTTTGTCTCACTTTTGATGTATCCGGAGACCTACATGTCACAAATAAGAAAATAAAGATATGACACAAAACAAACACCTTCCATTTACATTGTTGTATGGTAAAAGTGAAAGCAGAGGAGAATTTGAATATGACAGAAGGGGAAATGACAGAGTGAGAGTAAAATAAGGGGACAAGCTTCTGTGCTACTGGGCATATTTGCTGGAAAATAAGACATTAGAGTCCTTATTTTTGCTGAATAGGGCTATCATCGTGGAAGTTGCCAAGTTCATTTCTTTCATTTTCTATTGTATTTTTGGTTTGTAGCCTTTTATATCTAAGCAAGGAATCATGTATTATGTTTTCTGTATCTTTGAACATAAGCTAAATTTGTATTGGTTTGGGAAATTATGTGAATTGAAAAATGACTTTATTGCTGTCAATATAGTTTCAGTTTGTTACATGTACTATTTTCACCGATCATATTGCTGGTTTACTGATCATTTTCCTGCAATATTTGCGGCTGAGGTTTACTGGAAAGGAATTTGTGTTAGACCTATGCAGAACAATGTGTGAATTGGTTTAAGGAATTAAATCTACTTTACGATTATATGAATGTATTCATCCAACATAACCTGTAGAACTTAAACGAATTCTATATTCGAATGTGAATTAGTGTTAATATTTGCATGATAGTTCGAAAACTATGGAACAGTGACCAAAATGCCATTGTTCACCAACTTTTTTACCTAAATGCCACGCGAACAGTGTTATTTCCCAATCTGCCATGGAGGCAAGTTCGCTACCCGGTGTAGCGAACTCGGTTTGCTAACGTGTCACGTTTCTAGTGGACACCAACTTGATTTTAACCAAGTTCGCCTACATGGTAGGCGACCTTCATTTTTTTTTATTAATTTTTTTTTTAAAATTTGATATTTGTTATTCATTAAAAATGTGACACGTCAGCAAATCAAGTTCGCTACACAGGGTAGCGAACTTGCCCTCGTGGCATATTGAGAAATAACACTATTCGCGTGGCATTTAGGTAAAAAAGTTGGTGAACAGTGGCATTTTGGTCGGTGTTCCAATTTATATTGTTGTATCATTTGCTATAGTATTCAGGTGCACAGTCACTGAAAATAGGAGAACCCTTTATCCAACCTCATTCATACATTGTTCTCGTCATATGCTCTTTCTAATTTGTTTCGTGTTCTTTTTAAGTTACTGGTTTTTAAGTAGTCTTAGTCTAAATCACATTCTCGAATAATTTTTCTTAATTTGAAAATTTCATAAGTGATAATTAGATCCATTAGCACTATAAGGCATGTTGATTTTCTGATCTGACATTCTAACTCTCCAATCTCCACTTACTTGTTGACCACATATACTTGGATATTAAGATATTTTTGCCTTGATAAAAGGTAGAGACATAGTCAGCCAAACAATATTTTATTTTGATACTTTTTCATTACTGTCCAACTTTTTTCTTAAAAGAAAAAAAAAAAATCAAAGTTTTCAACAAGACCAATTGGCAAAACTAAGTCTTTGAAACTTAAGCCCTCTTATGCTCAGATCTGTTTAATGGCTTTCGAGAAGTGTAAATACAATTTTATATGTTCTGCAAAGTGTTTTTATAAAGTTTCCATAGAAAGTTATCAGATGATCTTGGTTTCATCCGATATAGTTGAGAAGAGTAGCCTATGAACCTTTCAACTCTTGTTTTTGGACTATCCCTTCTCAACTCCAAGTCCTTAACCTTAAGAAAAGTTTGACCAAAGATTTGTTTTGTAAAAAAGTTGAATAAACTTGAAAGAAAGTTGTTGGGTCGTGCATAGGGAGAGACCGCCAACTATGGGTCAAGTGAGCAGCAACATTAAGTGGGCTCGGAACACCATAATCAAACCCAAAACCTTAAGGCATTAGGTCAATGGGTCCTTCCACTTATATAGTGTTTAGTTAGTTCATTCTTAACCAATGTGAGACTCCACCCACTCACACTTGGATTCTTCAACATCTCCCCCTAAAGTGAGTCGTAGGCCCACAATTCTTTCCCTCTCAAGCAGAAGTTGCTTCTTCATGGCGGACAGAGACCGCTAATTATGAGTCAAGTGAGCAGCAACATTAAGTGAGCTCGGAACACCACAATCAAACCCAAATATATTAAGGCATTAGGTGCATGAGTCCTTCCACTTATATGGTGCTCACTTAGTCCATTCTTAACCAATGTGGAACTTCACCCACTCACTTGGATTCCTCTACAAAAGTTAAACTCATTTCTTATGTCTTTGCAAACTTCAGTTGTTATCAGAACTCAGCCTTGTGGTTGAGTACGCCTAACAATGTGAGAGGAAAAAGAAGGATGGCAAACCAATATATTAGGTCATTCATTGCTGGAGGATCTTCATCTTGTAGACTTCCTGTGTTTGATGGAAAAGATTACTAATACTAGAAAGATCAAATGATGTTGTTTCTATAGTCCCAATATATAGTTTTGTGGGGGATCATGGACAGTGGACCTTCCAATGCTAATGAATGCACGGTTTTGGATAATGAGACTCTCTACGATATCTACTTCCACACACTTAATCTCACCACTCCCAGATGTATAATAGTTGTATATTGTTTTGCTTCTAAGTGCCGTGATACTGGTGTTAATGTTGTCTTTTTTGTCTTTCTATTTTTGGGGTTTGAATTGTTCTTTGGCTCTATGCCTCCTTGTGGGTATTGCAGTTTTAGGATTTTATTTCTGAGCATATTTACATTGTTCAAATGGTGCCCATATAGATTGAAGTGTAGGTTATATTTGTTGGGAGGAGGATATTTGAGAAAAGGAAAGGTTTAGAAAGATTTGGAGGAAGAGAACACTTTTATTACTACACAACTCTCTTTGTTTTTGGCTTTTTGGCTTGATACAAAATGATGGAGGACACACCTATTTATACTAGTGGCACCTCCTTAACCAATGGCTAGGATTATGCCAACACTATTCTCATCTAATGGCTACAAATCATTCTCTAGAATTCTCCACAATTTTCCTAGCCTAGATATTTCCATGGTAGTTTCTAGGTTGAACTATTCTAGATATTTCCATGGAGTAATCTAGAGTGGATTACTCTAGAATTTGGGCTAAACTACTCCTAAAGATTATTCTAGAAGTTGGGCCAAATAATAACTAAGCCCAATGGACCAAAAACTAATTAAATCAAGTTTATTTATTCAACACCCCCCCCCCCCCCTTAAACTTGATTTTGTAAACCAATCATATTTTGTGGAACACATTTGTCCGGTGGCTTTGGGATTGGTGGAAGATAAACAATCTTTATCAGTGTTTGTGGCATCTCCGATACATACACGATCTCTGCTAAATTTGACCAAGTAATCCATGGTTTTTCCCTTTGCTCATTCTCCAAAATATCTTCTTTCTTTTGCTTTTCCGGCACATCAATGAGAGTTTGTTTTTCTTTTACTAGAATTATTTCTCCTTTGTTTGTCTTCTTTGTTGGTACTCCCCCTGACTTGTTGCTACTGCTCCTTGGCTTCACTTTCTGTTTAATTTCTTTGTTGTTGTTGCTTCTTCTTGTTGATGGTGTAGATGCAAGATTTGTTGGAGTAGGACTTGGTGGAGGAGTTTGATCATTTCCATCTTGAATTGTCTGCCCTTCTGAGTCATTTCTAAAGAATACGCCTTCAACTTTCATTTCTCCATTTGCTATATGCTTTTTCTTGGTTGTCATTGTTTCATCCAATATGAAATTTCTTTGGGGTTCTATCTTTGATCCTGGCAGAGTTAGTACTGCTTCATTCTCCTCTTCTTCCTCATATTCCTCATCATCATGATCGACATCGTCAGGATCACAACTACGCTCGTTGTCACCTTCTCCTCCTCTTTTTTCTTCATGTTCTTTCATCAAATCAGATTTATTTATCCATTCAGCAGCTTCTGTATCTTCTTCCATATCATCAATATTATCAGCTTCAGCTTCAGTTTCTTCTTGATGCTCTTCTTCTTCCATAGTCTCTGATTTCTCTGACTCCAAATCATTTTGGATATTGAATTCTGATTCTGGATTGCTTGATTCTGTGTCTAGATACCATGTATTCTCTTGTTCTCCTACATTGTCATTGCGTACCATCAATAGAGTGCCATCTTCTTGACTCCTTTCCTCCACATAGTTCGCCTTCTCCTCAAATTTTCTTGTAGGAGTTCTACATTCATAGGCATAATGGCCGAACCTTTGACAGTTGTAGCACTTGATTTGTGATTTGTCACGCCTTGGTTGGAAGGCACCTCTTCCACGACCTCTTGTTGAGCTTTCTCCTCGATCTTCATGGGCATAGTTGTTGTTGAAGCCTATACTTCCACGTCCACGACCTCTTCCTCGACCACGATATCCTCCTCGTCCTCTTGTGTTGCCAAAGTCTTCTTCCTTTCCTTTGAAGTTGAGTTGTGTCTTGAGTAATTGTTCACCAACCCCTTGCTTTTTCTTTTGCTTCTCCTCATATGCTTGTAAGGAGCCCAAGAGTTGCTCTATTGTCATAGCTTCCAAATCTTTTGTTTCTTCTATGACAGTGACAATATGATCGAATTTTGAATCTAAAGATTGCAAAATTTTCTCCATAATTTTTACATCATCTATCTTTTCACCATTTCTTTTTAATTGATTAGTCACCGTCAAGACTCTAGAAAAATAATCGGAGATACTTTCGGCATCTTTCATGTGTAAAGTTTCAAACTCACTTCTTAGAGTTTGAAGACGTACCTTCTTGACCGGCTCATCACCCTTGTAAGAGGTTTGTAGCTTCTCCCATGCTTCCTTTGCGGTGGCTGCCTCCGAAATCTTCTCAAAAGCATCTTCATTCAATCCTTGATAGATGAGATAGAGAGCTTTCTTGTCTCTCTTTCTTGAATCCTTCAAGCTATCCTTTTGAGTTTGGGATAGAGTGACTCCTTCTTTTGGCTCATCGTAGCCTTTCTTTATCACTTCCTACACATCTTGTGATCCAAGGAGGGCCTTCATCTTGATGCTCCAATTATCATAGTTGCTCTTGGTGAGCATAGGGACTTGGAAAGGAACCATGTTGCTACTTGCCATTTCTCTAGAAATGATCTTAAGGCTCTGATACCACTTTGTTAGGAGGAGGATATTTGAGGAAAGGAAAGGTTTAGAAAGATTTGGAGGAAGAGAACACTTTTATTACTACACAACTCTCTTTGTTTTTGGCTTTTTGGCTTGATACAAAATGATGGAGGACACACCTATTTATACTAGTGGCACCTCCTTAACCAATGGTTAGGATTATGCCAACACTATTCTCATCTAATGGCTACAAATCATTCTCTAGAATTCTCCACAATTTTCCTAGCCTAGATATTTCCATGGTAGTTTCTAGGTTGAACTATTCTAGATATTTCCATGGAGTAATCTAGAGTGGATTACTCTAGAATTTGGGCTAAACTACTTCTAAAGATTATTCTAGAAGTTGGGCCAAATAATAACTAAGCCCAATGGACCAAAAACTAATTAAATCAAGTTTATTTATTCAAAAATATTCTGGTAATATTGAAAATTTGAAATGCCTGTCTTCCTCCTAAAGGTTTTGAATTCTATCTCACATTTTGTGAATGGTTTTCATTTTAGCGATAGCTGCATTTCTAAACAGAAATTTGGTTTAATCTTTAATATTGCAATTATACTGACAATTGCTAACATGGCCAAAAAAAGTTGTTGACAAATGACAATGGTTGTAGGGATATTGACTGAATGTGGCTAATATTCCCCAATTCATACCACTCACTAGTTTGAAAAATGTTCCTGTAAAGTGAGTTTGTTGGGTTATGATCACAGTATAATTTATGTTAATAATAGATACACTCATACTTTTTACTTTAGAAGAAACTTATCATGTGTACTTGTTTTGCTGATGCGTACAACTTACTCATGGATTGGATTCTTCAGATGAGTTCTGTCCTGATTCAATTGTTTTGTTACACAATGGCTGTAGGTGTTTTTAGTGAATTTTGTATGAATGTACCTCGACAGTTCGGATGGTACGAAACAGGAGGCATTGATGTATAGTTTGTAAAAGCCAAAAAGTGCATCATTTGAAATTATAAAATTTAACTCCTCTTTGTGACAAGAAGATCAAACGTACGAGTTTGAAAAACAATCCGTCTAAAAGTACTATAATAATTATATCTGTTTATCAGCGTTCGCACTGCTACTAGTTGCATATCCATCTAACACGTAAAGTTCCCAACTTCCCCTTCTTTACCTTGCATGTTTTGCCAGTTGTAGTTGCATGGTTTTTGTTTTACACTGTTATCCGGAAGATAAATTTTAAATTTCCCATCTCATGATTGGCAAGTTAGAAACGTAAATAAAAAAGGATCACGAAATTCTGGTAAGTATAAATGTAAAACATTGCATTGTGAACACTTCACAAGAATCATCGAAATTTACAATCTATTGTATCCTGTAGGAAAGACTAGTTGCAGAAATATCTACCTCTTGAATCCCAAGATGCCAACATATTGTAAAAGTATTTTTTATGGTCTGCGAACTCCAACCCTTTATTTGTAAGGTATCTAGGCTTCAAAGTTGGAGATTCAAGTTTGAGAGATGAAGTGTTCTGCCACAAGACGCCTCAAAATCTTGCCAGTGGCGGTCTTGGGCAAAGAATCAGTAAGGAAGACCTTTTTGGGGACTTTAAAAGATGCAAGGTTCTTCTTGCTAAATCTTATAACCTCTGCCTCATCAATGTGTGATCCTTCTCTTGGGATGATTGCACATTGTATCTGTCAAAAGGTAACAAGACATGATCAACTCAATTTTCAACGAACTAATTAATGTATACATCATTTAAGCATATAACACAATTCACAAAATTCTGAGTTCTTTTCATTGCCCTTATGGGCATTTACTCTCTTTTTTCAGCTGTTTGCACTAATTATGAATTTTATTTTTGGATAAACCATCCGTTATTCGGTCGCTAATTTCGAGTTGGATAGAACCACAAAGACGACAAAGCTCTCCCTACCAAATTTTAAACACAACACTACTGCATAGTCGGGACTCGAAATAGTTACGAATCTTGAAAGGCTATAAAAGTCAAAAACAAATTTTGTTATAGCAGAGGATCACATAAGTAGGTAAGAAAATAAGTTGCAGCTAGATAATAAACTGTTTTCCTTCATGAGAAAGGCATCAAAAGGGTTATGAAGAAGCTGAACTGTTTTGAGAAATTAATTAGTCCTAGAGAACCAAGAGAAACGCTTTTTCAGATCTGGATCGTAGAACATTGTTACCTTTCGGTGGAAATTAAGAAGTTAGGAAAATGATCATTTTCATTTCTGCAACATGGTATTAAAAAGTCAATTCCATTTGCCAAAACATGTTCAGATATATTTGGACTCTTGTGAAGCAGAGTTTTCTTGTACGCTACAAAATATTGGTACATGATGAAAGCACAACGTTTTGAAGGCTGAAAATGATAAAAAAAATCAATACCACCAGAATATCCTCAGTTCAGTTTGCCTTTAAGGTAGTTGCTACCCTAATGGTAGGGCCTCACACATGAGTGGTCATTGATTACCACCGAATGCAAAAAATAGGAGTGTCACCTCATATGCAATAAATAATGTGCATGTGAAACCAAGTAGGCCAGTATTTAATTCTTGTGGGTGTGAGTACGACCTTTCCTATAAGTTTATTGAGATTGAGTGGGACAGATATGCTATTTACACGTTAAATTTTACATACATTTTGCTATCAATGATCGGCATATAAATAATGTCTATTATATAGTAATTAAAAATGTTATGATAACATATATTGTGAAATTATTATTTTCTGAGATGCAGGGGAAAAGACAATAAATTAAATTGTACAGGTGTAAGACCCAAAAATACATGAGAATAAGACATACCTCTTCGCCATATTTCTCATCAGGAACTCCGAAAGCAACAGCCTGAGCAATGTCTGGATGTGATAGAAGCACAGCATCCACTTCTATTGGTGATATTTTCTCTCCTAAGAAAAATGAAGATATGCATCAAAGAATTCATTAAAATTTTCTGAAAGTGAAAGATAGATGAGTTCCAAATTATTTTAAATAAGAGTGAATATGAAAAAAAAATTCATTTTTTTAATTAATGTGGTATTAAAAAAATGGAAAAAATAATTCAATTTTTTTATATTTCTACTTTTCACTTAATAAACCAGACGCGCTAGTCCTTGTGTTATGATGTGGATGGTTAAAACTTAATACCAGAATTGTGTCCACTTTCTACCTAATGCTCCTACCAAATCAAAACCAAATTAACATCACTATCACTTCCTACTCAACTCATAACCAGCTTAATAGTTAGTGGGAAAAGTGTGTGTATTTTTAAAAAATACAAATTTAGTTTCTTTTAGAAAGAAATAGACATAAAAAGATGAGTTCCCTCAAAAAATAAAAATAAAATAAAAATATGGGTCTATCTCTTTGTATCGATTTCTCCTAAAAAGACGAAAGTTTAAAAGACACACATTTTTCTCGTATTAATACCAAACAAAAAACCACTCAACCTTGAATACCAGTTTCTTTTATATCCATTTTACAAAAAGCAAAGTTCTCAAACAAAATTATATAATTTATGAATATAAGCCATATTTTATATAAGGAAAAAATATTTCTCAAGTTGCTTGATATAATGTGGCCACTACAAAACTACGTCGTTTTATTTATTTATTTCTTTATATTAATTGATTCACCTATGAATGGTTATGATTCTATTTTTCTCTCTCTTTCTTTAACACCGTTGATTCATCTTGTACGGTTATAATTTAGTAGCCATAGATAACAATCTCTGGCAGCTTGAGAAATGATAAGCTCAAAATATATATATATATATATATATATAATAATAATAAAAATAATATAGATACCTCCTCTGTTTATGAGCTCCTTGATCCGACCCACAAGATGCAAGTACCCATCTGGGTCAAAGTAACCAAGATCGCCAGTGTGAAACCAACCAAACTGAAACGCCGTCGTATTAGCATCCAGGTTGTTCTTGTATGCTTTTGTCACATTGGGTCCCCGAATACAAACCTCACCATTGGATTCAGCTTCTAAGACCCGACCCGTCTCACTCAATATTGCCATTTCTTGACCCACGGGTTTCCCAACCGACCCGGCCTTGTGGGGCCCATCTTCCGGCAACGGGTTCGAAGCCATGAGATGAGACGCCTCAGTCATCGCATAAGCCTCCAAAACCGGGGCTCCGAATGCCTCCTCCAACCGACCCAATATAACCGGTGCAAGCGACGCGCTGCAGCTCCGAATAAACCGGAGCTTCGGGTAAACGGGTTCCGGGTTGTACAGGTGGCGATCCAGTACGATCTGGTGTATGGTAGGAACCGCAGTATACCACGTGGCGTTGTACTTAATCATGTCCTTCCAGAACGTCGAAGCAGAGAACCTCCCCGCCGCCGGCAGCGCCACCGCCGCGCCGGCACCGAGTGAACTCAGTAATCCGGCGATCAAACCGTGAACATGGAACAACGGAAGCACGATGACCGTGGAGTCAGACTCAGTGAGTCGGTACACCGATTGAATGTTCCGTACCGACGAGAACAAGTTGTGCTGAGTCAGCGGAACCCCCTTGGGGCGGCTCGTGGTTCCGGAGGTGTGGAGGAACAGCGCCACGTCGGAAGGGTCGTTACTGAGTCCGGGGAGCGAGTTCACTGAGTCGAGCTCTGACTCGGGCTGGTTCAGCGAGAGACTCAACTCAGCTTCATTGCCTTCGGCTTGAGTAAGTGAAGCCGAGCCGCAGGGTATGTTGAGCTTCGAAGCCGCGGCTTGAGCTGGCTTGTTTCCTTCAAACGACGTCGTTAGTAGAAGCTTCGATTCTGAGTCAGACAAATAAAACTCGAACTCTTCTTCTGTGTAAGCCGCATTCAGTGGCGCCGCCGTTGCTCGTGCTCGAATAACGGCTAAGAACAAAATGACAAACTGAAACAAAAAAAATAAAAACAGAAAAGAAAATAAAAATGAAAATTTTCTTTCGTTTTCCACGTCATTTTCTAAGCAACCAAACAGGGTACAACGATAGGGATTGAGAAGCGAACCTCGACGGTGTTGGGGAAGGTGAGTGCGACGACGTCGCCGGTCTTGATTCCGGCGGAGACAAGGCCAGCGGCGGCTAGGTCGACGAGTTCGTTGAGGCGGGAGTGGGTGAGGTCGAACTTTCCGGCGACGGAGATGGCTCTCCGGGAGGGGAATTTCGCGGCGATGCGGCGGAGCAACCCGGTGAGTGTCGTTGGTGTTTCCATTGTTTCTAAATAATCAACTTTGATGCGATGACCGATGAGTCTCTCTGAATGGTGAAAGCGTCTATGAATTCTCTTATATATATATAAAGGAAAGTGGGTGGCGGTGGCATCTAGGAAGAAAATTTTGATACGTGGATCGAGTACAATGGATGCGCATGGCACCTAGGAAAGGCTTCGTTTTGGTTAAATATTCTCTGTGGCCCAGCTTGTGCAACTTTTTGGTCATTTCCTTGTTTTGACTTGTTTTTATTTTTTGAACCAATTGTTTTGACTTGTTAAATATATTTCGAATTCAATAAAAAAAAAAAAAAAAATTAGATGGTCCCTTATATTTGTGATGATATTTCCCCATCTATTATGATAGAATATTGTTAAGAAAATACTTGATGGAATATTTAATGTCAATATTGACAAGGCGCCGAGATTATTATTGATTTTCCTTTAGTAAATGATCATTCTTTTCTCTTGAAGATTATTTCTCTTTTTGTTAAGATGATATGATTATTGAATTAGTAATAAAACATTATATTCCTTTACTAGGATTTATATGATATAATTACTAAATTAATGTTAAAATATTATAATGTGACAATAGATGAGTCTCGAAAGGTTTAGTATATATATATATATATATATATGAGCTTATCGTTTCTCAAGCTGCTGGAGATAATTTTATCTCCGGTTAATAAATCATAATCGTACAAAGATGGATCAATGGTAATGAAGGAAGAGAGCGAAAATGGAAATCATAATCACTCAAAGGTGAATCAAATAATATAAGAAAATAAATAAACAAAACGACGTAGTTTTAAGGAGGCCGGAGATAAACTTATCTCAAGTTTTCAGAGAAATATTTTTCCCTATATATATATATATATATATATATATATATATATATAGGGTAGGATATTGTAACAACCAATTAGTATTACTACAAAAATTATTATCAATCAATTTCACTGTTAAATCGATTATGTTGATCCAACGGTTATATTTATTTCCATCTTTGTACGGTTATGATTCCTCATATTTAATGTGAAAGAATTAAATATGGAAAATCATAACCATACAAAATTGAAAATAAATATTAAATATGTAGAATCATAATCATACAAAGATGAAAATAAATATAACTGTTAGATCCACATAATCGATCTAACGGTAAGATTGATTGGTAGTAACATTGGTAGTAACACTACTTGGCTGTTACAATATCCTTCCCCTATACATATAGGGAAAAATATTTCTCCGGCAACTTGTGATAAGTTTATCTCCGGCCACCCCAAAACTACGTTGTTTTGTTATTTATTTTCTTATATTAATTGATTCACCCTTGAATGATTATGATTCTATTTTTCTCTCTCTTCCTTTATCACCATTGATCCATCTTTATACGGTTATGATTTAATAAACGGAGATAAAATTATCTCAATTAGATTGAGAAACAATAAGCCCATATATATATATATATATATATATATATATATATATATATATATATATATATATATATATATATATATATATATATATGGGAAAAATATTTCTCAAGCTGCTTAAAACAAATTTATCTCCGGCCACCCCAAAACTACGTCGTTTTAATTATTTATTTCCTTATATGTATTGATTCACCTTTGAATGGTTATGATTCCTCTTTTCTCTCTTCCTTTATCACCATTGATCCATCTTTGTACGGTTATGATATAGTAGTCGGAGATAACTTTATGTCCGGCAGCTTGAGAAATGATAAGCCCTATATATATATATATATATATCAAGCTGCTTGAGATAAGTTTATCTCCGGCCACCCCAAAACTACGTCGTTTTGTTTATTTATTTCCTTATATTAATTGATTCACCTTTGAATGGTTATGATTCCTTTTTTCTCTCTTTCTTTATCACCATTAATTTATCTTTGTACGGTTATGATTTAGTAGTCGGAGATAAGATTATCTCAAGCAGCTTGAGAAACGATAAGCCCATATATATATGTATGTATGTATTTCTACAGCCACTTTAGATAATATTATTTACAACTATCTCTTTTTAACTAAGTCTGACCAGTCATACATAATTATAACAATAAAGTTGTTCTTTTTTCTCTCTCCTAAGACATTGTCGGCTGACGTGGCGGAGAGAGAAAATATAATTTTTATGTATGAGTGGTCAGACTTAGTTAAAAAGAAATAGTTGTAGATAATTTTATCTAAAGTGGCTATAGAAATGTTTACCCCATATATATATATATATATATATATATATATATATATATATATATATATATATGGGATAGGATCCTTTGACACCGGTGTCAAATTTAAAGTTTGACACTTCATCTGAGAGCCGTTAGATCAAAAAAGATCAATGGTATCATATGCTTACAAATCAGAGTAGTTGATTTTTTTTTATCTAACGACTCTCAGATGAGGTGTCAAACTTTAAATTTAACACCGGTATCAAATGATCCTACCCATATATATATATATATATATATATATAAAATCTTTTCTTCTATTGTAGGAGGAAAAAAAACCTCATTCAATTGACCCATCGAAATTCCCCCCATTTATTTTTTTTATAACAAGGTGATCTTTATTTTACTGTTTGTATGTATGTAACCACACACGATCGTAATGTATGAGGTGTTATTAAATGTTTCAACAAGTTAGTGAGTATGTGAGCCAAACATGGAGAAATTTGTGACAAGCAATAGAAGGTGGTTATTTGGAGGGAAGAGAGATATTTTGTGTCATTGGTGTTTATTTTATAGTAAAATTTGGGATTGAGATGTATAAATGCCTAAATCCATATGTCCAAAACAATATTTGTTTAGCTCTAGAGGATCGCAATTGATGTGGAATTTGCAAACTAACAATGTCTATAGAGAAGATTGCATGTGGTGGTATCATTGTACGTAATGAAGAGGCTAAGTGTAACACCCCGTGTACATCGACATATTATCTAATTATTGTATTGAGCGCAGCCAGAATAAATAAATAGTGGATTTTCTTTATTATCATCACCTAGACTCATGGGTTAATCAAATCAATCCTCTTTATTTTAAAAGAGTTAACTTTTTCTTTTAACATCTTAAGCATGTCATTTAACTTTAACTTAACATAATCATAAATCATATGATTCCTACATTTAGCTATTCACAAGCTTAAAATAAAACATCCGTCCATGGATATATCGGCTTTGGCTTCAAGCCTTCACTAGTACGTTACATTCATTCAACTATCCATTGTCATGTTATGTCTTACCCATTCATTAATCCATCAACATGGCATCAAGCCATTATACATAATCTTATAATCTAATACATCAAGTCATATTGAAATATCTCAAACTCCTCATTCACCTATTACTCAAGTTTACATAAATAAGACATGCTGGCCTTTTAAATTACATAGGTGATTGAACAATATAATGAAAGACATAACATACATGTTATCATCAATTAACTCTTAATATCAAGATTACAATACAAAATAGTAATCAATGTACATTTGCTCATATATCATGTTCCTTGGCACACCAGGCCATTGTGCCCTTTTTTTCTTTTGTCTCACAATACCTTTCTCTTTAGGACCTAAAATATCATATTCCCAAACAAGATGAGATAATCATATGAATAAACTCAGGATTCTTGGAGAATTCCTCCACCAATGAGTTCTACTTCTGCATGAAAGATTGGTATACACATGGTATAAAAGAAACATATATCTGAAGGAAAAAATAGTAATGGTTGAACTTGTGCACTCAGTATACTCGTATCACCCCGATGAGTTATTTCTCAAAATGAGCATCCAAGAGACATTGTGCACCAAGTACACTCAAATCACTTTAATGCGATATATCTCAAAAAGAGTATTTGTCTCTGTTGTGCACCAGTACACTCAGGAAGTCCATATATCATTCAAATGGTCAAGAACAAACAATCAAATTATCACATAAGCTTCAATTATATATCAGTCCTTTTACTAATCATACAATCTAGGCCCGAGTGTTTGTCCATTGGTCCTTTCACCAATGATACAATATTTGTATATGAATGAAATCATACCATACCATTAACGTACCAACAATCATCCAATATACAACAATAACTCCCAAAGAAACATAGTGGAACAACAAAAGGGATAAATCCCAAAGATTCAAGAGTTTACCTCTTATAGACTTCCTTTTAAATCTTTCTCTATCTCTAAGATACAAATCCCCAAATTTCACACTAGGATAACCTATTCCAAAAGTGTGAAGGTGGTCATTAATACATATTATATTCTGTAGTGATCTGTAAGCTAATAACTTTTAGATAACCATAGCATTTCATGGCATTCAATATTACATGTTTTAAATATAATAATATTCAGTTATTGTTCACATGCACTGTTCATATATACAATACTATTCATATATATGGTATTGTTCAATGTTCACATATACAATATGTTCACTATTCACTATTTACTGTTCATCATTGTTGGGATTCGAATCCCTCCAGGACAAAACCCAGATTTTTGCCCAAAATTCATCAAATCTCATAAATAATCATATCCTTAGCCCATGTTGCTTCCTAATTAGCATTTCATCATATTATACATATATAATTCAATTTTTAATTTCAAAATTTTGACTAATGAATCACCGAAAATTCATATTTTCTCAAAAATCTAAATTTCATGAATATCCATAAAACTCATAGGAAGTTAAGTTTTCATTACCTTAAACTCCTTAGAGTAACAAGAGGAGGACTTTACAAGCTTTAAGGGGTTATAAACACCCTTTCTACACCAAAATCACAATTTCTCCCCAAACTTTGAAAGGAATCTTCTTCCTCCACAAGGCTTCTAAGTTGAAACTAGTAAGTAGATTTTTCTTCTAATGGAAAACTAAACAAATTTCATAAAGGAAATTATTCATTTCCATGGTTAGCTCTCAAATTGGTTTTCAACTTTTGTAGATGGTGAAGTCGACTAAGGAAGAAAGCTAGGGAATGATGAAGATGAAGATTTTGAGAAATGAATAGTGCATAGTGGATTTTGACTTTTAGTTAAAA